ACCCCACAGGCAACAGAAAATATAATAACTAATTTTAAAAAAGAAATATGTTTCAATTTTATTTCTCAAATATCATATATGATGCCAATCAACATCTATCTTTAGTGAAAGATGTTAATACAGATTTTCAAATACCCTTTTCTTTTAATCAATTCTTTTTTGAACCGCTGAACAGTTGACAGTAGGACTAATCTCAAATGGAAAAGGGAGGAGTTCGCAATAATCTGGGAGACCTTGAGTCCGTTTGATCTGCTCCGCTGTGGCTTTAGAAAGCACCACTTTCATGCACTCGCACGCGCTCTGCCTGTCTTGCTTTGTTTGCAAACCTTGCACTACTGAGTTTAGGCCCCAACAGCAATCATCCGGTATCACCCCGCCATTTAATATGTAGCCTATGCATGTTACCTGCGCCTCCGCCCAAGGCGGGATAACGGCGGAAGTGATGACGCATAGGAAGAGCAATGACATCAGCTGCTTTCGGTTTTCGACGACTGCCATTGTGTAGCTATCTTCGTTGGATTGATTAGTGTGGAAATAGTTGGGAGGGATAGGGAGGTATTTATAGATCGCTACCAACATTTGGATTTAGTACGTACTAACTAAAAAGGTGACTGCAGACCTGCAGTTTCTAATAATATCATATGGATTTTGGTAGAAACTTAAAGATTCCATTGCCACATTTTTCATTAAGTGCAAAACACACTATTATATTGTTAATGGGCGGATTTGGTGCCTTAGAATTTATATATTATGGAGCATGTATCCTATTTTATATGTATAATCTACTCATATAATTAAACTTGATTGACATGGTTTACCGTTTAAGTCTGTAATGTTATATATATATATATATATATATATATATATATATATATATATATATATATATAGAATTAAGGTTATATCCTTGATTTATGTCCATCTTTTTGTATGCAAATAAATGTGTACATTTTACTTTAAATGTTGTACATTCCAATGTTATTAGACAAATCTACCCTTACACCGTTATAACACCGTTAATTTTTAATTCTAACATTGATAACACATCATTATTACCATACACCTATATCTATCATATCTTTTTAATACTTAATTGTATTTTAATTAAATTTCTATGAATGATAAATTATATATGTGTGTGTACAAAATACATATATTATTTGTGTATATATAATTTAAATTATAATTTATAATTATTTGTATTTATCAGTGTTTATATATATATATATATATATATATATATATATATATATATATATATATATATATTCGTGTAAAAATCAAATTATAAGCAACGAATTAACTTTCATTCCTACCCAACACATACACAATAGGATAGAGTAAGTAATACGTTTATCATAAAGTATATTAAAGAGCAAATTATTTAATGAAACTAACATTTGAAAATATATACTTAGTATTGTTGTTATTTTGTTGATTATTTAATTAATTCAAATTTAGGTTGTAATATTATATATATAGTAGAAAAAAAGTACACTTCTGGTCTAACTTTTTATCTGAAAAATGAATATCGTGTGATTTTGATTCTTACTCGACTTAATAAAATGTAGGTCAATGTGACCTTTCAACTTTATAATTATATTAGCAATTCACTAATTAAATACATCAATCTGTTCATTTTCAAAAAAAAAATACATCAATCTGTTCTGTACAATGAATATCAAATGTTCTTTTGTTTTATCATGTTCCATCCAAGTATTTAAAAGAATAATAATATTACGGAGTAATATTTAATATTAATAATGTAAGATCATAGAATCTTATATTTAATAATTTTCAATTCACCAACAAAAGTAAATAAATAAATAACGAAACATAAATATCTGTTTCATGTCATCAAAATCTTGTTAGATGGTTAGTGGGATAAATAGTACTTTTAGTGTAAGTAAATATTGTCACAAAAGTACTGAGTAATTGTGACAACTTTTCAAAAGTCGTCACTACTACAATAGTGACGGAGGATATAGTGACGACAGGTGACGACTTCAAAAATTGGTCACTAATATCAATAGTGACCAAAATTGATAGTTTCGATGACAACTTCTGTTGTCACTAAATATTAACATAAAAAAACATTAAATATTAACATAAAAAAGAGTTTAAACAATTTATAGTTATTTCGCACAAAATGATGTAATTTTGAGTGAAATAATCTATTTAAAAAAGAAAGAAATAATAGCTAATTGTCTGACTAGGCGACCTATTCGATGTCTAGTCGGTGCCTAGGAAGTCTAGGTGGCCACCTAGACTACAGATTATGGTGATACGCTAGGCAGCCGACCAACGCCTAGCGCCTAGGCGCCGATTAATCGGTGCCTATGCAGGATTTTTGTAACACAACAAGCCTCGAATTTTCATCCTCAATTGATGTGATTTAACTTTTTGTTTGAGCGAATCAGTTATAAGCAACTTAGGGTTACAAGTCAAAATTTACTCGATGTACATTTTTCTGATAGTGACTGTGGAGTTCCCTCGTCATTAAAAAAATCATATTGAACTCTTAATATTGACATGTCACTGGGTAAAAGTTTTGTTAATCGGATAACAAAATTGATTAAAATAATACAAAAAAGGACGTTAGATCAAATTTAGAAAGTGGAATAAAAATGGTTACGATAGAAACGTTGAAATTTATTGCCAATTACCTAAAAAAAATTATAAAATGTTAAATTAATTATCTTTTTCAATTATACACATAAACACGAAACATGAAGAAGAAAGAACTATACGTGATTAATACTCAACTTTTATGAACGAAAAGAAGTATTTTATTTTGGTGATGGAATAATCACGGAGCCGGAGCGGAGCAACGCAGTACAAGCCGGGTCAGACCCGGAGTAGGACGGACCACCCCGGGGTCGACCAACCACCCCGGGGTCGGCCCCGGGCCGGCCCCCAGAGCTCGGCCGAGCCCCTTGGGCTCGGCCACATGGGCTCGGCCTCGGCCCCCATGGGCTCGGCCGAGCCCATGCTCAGCCCATTGGCCGAGCTCCGTGCTCGGCCAATGGCCGGGTCCTCGCGTGGAGCGAGTCCCGCGGCGCGGGCCGCGGCTCCTCCCGCGGGCCCGGGGCCCGTAGTAGTCAGGGGTATATAAACACCCCCCGGTGTCCTAAGGAGACATCTCGGACTTTTCCTACAGCATTTGCCTTGTTATTACACGTCCCGAACCTCTGTAATAGCGTTTTATATCCAATCAATACAATATTTACCGTTTTATTATCCGTTCTTCGTATTCAATATATATTCGGGTTGTATAATCCGGACCCCCGGGTTCATATAACCCCTCATTGGTGCTGTTTGTTGAGAGCGGCTGTACAAGCTTAAGCGCTCTCCCTATTATCCTGCATTGACAGCAATGACAAGTACCGAGTCGAACACCCACAACTCGCAGGGCTCGCGCAACCCACGCGACCTCGCCCTCGTCAACCGCCCCAACGGGATCGTGGCGAGCCGACAGACCATGTCCGTAGGGGCCGGGGAGGACCTCCGGGATCAGATCAACGGGAGTCGACATGGGGCCGCGGGGGACCTTCGGAGCCGTCTCACCAACAATCGCCCTCTCGGCGGGGCAGCACCACCCGCACCACCTCAGGTCCCGACCTCCCAACAAGATGTCGTCATACTAGAACAGGCGGCGAACGCACTCAACCGCGTCGCGGCAGGGCTGCGCCGGGGAGGCGCAGCGCCCCCACCTCCGCCCCCTCCGAGGGTGCGCAGCGGCCCCAGCACTCAGGCGCCTCGGGAACCCGCAGCGCCGGCTGAGGAGGAAGTCAATTCACCACGACCTTCTGGGAGGCGCGACGGGGCGGAAGCCACCCGAGGCCGACACGAGCAGCGAAATGAAGGGCGAACTCGGCCGGCGCGTACCACCTCCGCGCTTGGGCGGTTGGGTCCACGCGTACCGGCGCGAGACCGCCTGGGGCCGGGGCCGAGCACACACGTCAGGCAGGAGGAGTCATCGTGCTCGCGGAGGTCCTGGAGCCACGAACCCCGTGTCCCGAGGCAGCGGGAGCCGGCCCCACCCGTGGAACGCTCAGGGGAGACCAGAGGCCAACCCCCGAGCACCCAGCGCGAAGATATGGAACAGTTGCGTCGACAGGTCCGCGAGTTGCAGCGCAAGATGGAGGCGCGCGACGAGTCCCCGGAGCCCCGGGACGCCCTGGCCACACCCTTCACAGATGCCATCATGGCCGAGCCTTTACCCCGGGACTTCCGATTCCCGACCATCAAACCCTACACGGGGGCGACGGACCCGCGGGACCACCTCAACAGGTACAAGGCGGTCATGATGATGACAGGCATAAATGACGCCATCATGTGTCGCGGTTTTTGCACGACTCTGGATGGACAGGCCCAGGATTGGTTCGGGTCCCTCCCGGGGGACTCCATTCCCACTTTTGCAGTCCTGACCAAGAAGTTCCTGTCGCACTTCGCGGGCAGCGTACAACGGCGAAAGCAGTTCGCCGACCTATGTTACCTGAAGCAAGACAAGTCGGAATCTCTGGCGGAGTACCTGAGTAAGTGGAAGAAAGAAGCTATGGGGGTAACAAATTTTGATGAAAGGTCCGCCATCCCGTTTTTCACCAACAACCTCAGGTCGGGCCCTTTCCACAGCGACCTTGTTCGGAATGAGCCGAAGACCTATGCAGAACTGATGGACCGCGCCGCGCGGTACGCCAATGCGGAAGCAACAGAGAAGAGGAAGAAGGAGGAGGAGGAAGGCAGCGGACAGGGTGACAGGGCATCTCACCCTCAAGAGGATCGCCGCCCTCCCCGGTCACGACGTGACCGGGGTCCCCGTCTAGCCCCGCTACGACACTTGACCCCGTTGACACAGCCTGTTAGCGTAATCCTGGACCATGCCGAGGACATGGGCATCGTGTTCGTTCCCCGATGAATGCTTAAAGATTTCCCCCAAAGCCGACGCGAAGAAGTATTGCCGCTTCCATCGGCAACGTGGACACGACACCGACGAATGTATGGTCCTCAAGAGGCAGATTGAGGAGCTCATTCAACGAGGATACCTGGGGCAATACGTGAAGAGGTCCGGGCAGGACCACGCAAAAGGCCCTGACAACACCCGAAAGAAGAAGGATGGCACCGGGCCTTCTACTTCTGCCCCGCGCAAGAGGGAGCTCGACCACCTCACGGAGGACGAGGAGACCGAGCCAGACAGCCCACCAAAGAAGAAGGTCATCCATGTCATCTTCGGCGGCCCGGAGGGAGGGGACACACCCACTGAGAGGAAGAAGTGGGCGCGGAGCCTATACGTTGGGGAGGTCGTCAGAGCACCCCATGAGAAGAGGACACGCAGGGAGCCCATAACATTCACCGACGACGACCTCCCGGATGGACCCTTACCCCACCGGGACGCATTAGTAATCCGCTTGGACCTTAATGACACCATCGTCCACCGGGTACTGGTAGATACGGGGAGCTCCGTGAATGTCATGTATTATGACACCTTCACGCAACTCGGGTTATCCAGGAAGCAGCTTTCCCAGGTTCGGACCCCGCTATCCGGCTTCACCGGAGACTCCATTGAGATAGAAGGGTCCGTCATCCTTAAAGCGCAGATCGGCACCCCGCCGCACGTCAAGACATGGGACGTAGAGTTCGTGGTGGTAAAGATCAGCTGCGCCCACAACATCATCCTTGGCAGACCTGCCTTGGAGGACCTCAGGTGCGTCATCTCTATGGAGCACCTTTGCCTCAAATTTCCTACTCCCACCGGAGTGGGCACCGCGAGGGGGGACCAGAAGATTAGCCGGAGTTACGTTGCTACTTGAAGGCCTGCCATCAAATAGCGAGGAAGGATCTCCAGGTACACACAGTAACCGAGAGGGCACTCAGGGAAGAAGAGAAGCGACCCCGTGCTGAACCCGTGGTGGAGACGGAAGAGGTCATCCTGGACCTCAGTCGACCTGATAGGATGGTGAAGGTGGGCACAGGCCTCCTGGCCGACCTCCGAGGTCGGATTGTCGAGGTCATCCGCAGCTATAAAGATGTGTACGCTTGGGGTCCCGAAGACATGCCGGGCCTCAGCCGGGAGGTCATCACGCATAAACTGGCGGTGGACCCCAAAGCCAAGCCTGTCCAACAAAGGAAGCGCTACCTCGCCGCTGATAGACGAAAGTTCGTGAAGAAGGAGGTCGACACCCTCCTTGAAATCGGGCACATCAAGGAGGTCACGTACCCGGCATGGCTCGCGAACGTAGTCCTCGCACCCAAACCGCCCACGTGGAGGATGTGTGTGGACTACACGGACCTCAACAAGGCATGCCCCATGGACCCCTTTCCACTACCCAACACAGACCAGCTGGTGGACGAAACGGCAGGATGCGCACTCATGAGCTTCCTAAACGCCTTCCGGGGGTACCACCAAATTTTCATGCACGAGGAAGACGAAGAAAAAACGGCGTTCACCACCCCCGAAAGGGTCTTTTGCTATCGGGTCATGGCGTTCGGGCTCAAGAACTCGGGAGCCACGTACACAAGAATAGTGGCCAAGGTGTTCAAGAAGGTCCTCGGCCGGAACTTACAGGCCTATGTGGACGACATGATTGTGAAAAGCACGGAGGCCGACCTACACACAGCCGACTTGACCGAGGTATTTTCCATTATGAGACGTTTTGATTTACGTTTGAACCCCAAGAAATGCACTTTCGGGGTACACGGAGGGAAATTCTTGGGGTACATGGTCTCAAAGAGGGGTATTGAACCCAACCCCGAAAAAGTCAAGGCCATCCTGGAGATGGAACCTCCAAGGTCCCTCCGCGAGGTCCAGCGCCTCAATGGTCAGCTGGCAGCTCTCGGTCGATTCCTCTCAAGGTCGGCCGAGAGGTCCTTGCCGTTTTTCGGGGTCCTCAAGAAGAACCAGGGGTTCGAGTGGTCAGACGAATGCCAGAAAGCCTTTGAAGACCTCAAGACGTACCTCATGACGCTACCCCCCCCCTAGCCAAACCGGAGAAAGGGGAGGTCTTGTACCTATACTTGGGCATCTCGCAGGCCGTGATCAGCTCCGTACTGGTCCGGGATGATGCGGGAACCCAACGCCCGGTGTACTACGTGAGCAGAGCCCTCCGAGGCGCCGAGCTCAGGTACTCACCCACGGAGAAAGCAATCTTCGTCGTGGACGCCATGGCCAAGAAGCTCGGGCATTACTTCCAAGCACACCCCATACGGGTCCTCACCAACCAACCCCTCGAGGCAGTATTGAGGGCCTCGGGGTTGGCAAGCAGGTTGGTCAAGTGGTCCATGCGGTTGAGCCAATATGATGTCCAGTTCAAGCCCCGACCGGCAATCAAGGGGCAGGCGCTCGCCGACTTCATAATCGAGTGCACTGCTCGCGAGGCCGCCGAACTAGCCCGGAGCGATGAGGAGGATTGGTGGACCCTGTCCACGGATGGCTCGTCCGGCCCCAAAGGGTGTGGCGGAGGGGTGGTACTCGTAACCCCGGAGGGGTTCCGGGCCTACTACGCCCTTCGCTTCCACTTTAAGCTGTCTAACAATGAGGCTGAATACGAAGCACTACTGGGTGGCCTTAGGCTGGCATTGGGTCTGAGGGCCTCCAAAGTAAGGGTGCGATGCGACTCCCGACTGGTGGTCGGACAGGTGAACGGTGAATTCGAAGCCAACGAGGAGAGAATGCGAAGATACCGCGACATGGTGCTCCAGGTCCTCGGTCAATTGACCCTCTATGAAATTTTGCAGGTACCCCGAAGTCAAAACGGGGACGCAGATTTGCTCTCCAAACTTGGCCTCGGCACCCCGGAGCATGTCTCTAAGATAGCACAGATTGAAGACCTCCAGAGGTCCAGCCTGGAGGCCTACCCCGTCCTCCCCATACAGACACGGTCCCCGTGCTGGTTGGACCACCTGATCGAGTATAAGAGAACGGGTACCCTACCAACAGACGAGGCAGCCGCCAAGGCGGTCAAGAGGAGATCACCAACATACGTCCTCCTTGGGGACACCCTTTACAAAAGGTCCTACAACGGTGCCCTCCTCCGATGCCTATACCCGGACGAAGCCAAGTCCGTCAAGGAGGAGATACACAAAGGCACCTGCGCTGCACACCAAGGAGCCTTCGCCATGGCGAGGAGGGCCCTATTGCAGGGGTACTTTTGGCCAAGCATGGCCAAGGAATGTGCAGAGTACGCCCGGGGGTGCCCGACTTGCCAGCACTTTCACGCGGAGCCGGGACGGCCGGCTACCAGCTACACGCCAATCAGCACGGTAATCCCGTTTGCACGTTGGGAGATCGACATCGTCGGGGCCCTACCCTTGGGGTCCGCAAAGAGGAAGTACATAATAGTCGCCATAGACTATTTCACAAAGTGGGTGGAGGCGGAACCCCTCGCCACCATCACAAGCACCCGGTGCACGGAGTTCATACGGAGGAACATTTTATACCGCTTTGGGGTCCCCATGCAGATCATCTCCAACAATGGGCGCCAATTCGAAAGTAAGGAATTTAAGGCATTCTGCGACCAATGGTACATAAAACACACCCGCGTGGCGGTGGCGTACCCACAAGCGAATGGGCAGGTGGAGAACGCCAACAGAACTATAATCGACGGCATCAAGAAGAACCTGGACGTGGCCGAAGGAACATGGGTAGAGGAGTTGGACACCGTCCTATGGGCATACCGCACCACCCCAAGAAGGGCCACCGGGGAGACACCGTTCGCGCTGGCATACGGGTTCGAAGCACGGGCTCCCACTGAAGCTGTGATACCATCCTATCGAGTCGCAGTGTACGACCCCGACCTCAACGAACAACACCATGCCGCCGACCTCCACCTCATCGACGACAGAAGGGAGGAGGCCATGGCCCGCGCAGAAAATTACCAACGCCAGACAAAAGCTTACCATGACAGCCGAGTCCGACCCCGTTACTTCCAGGTTGGTGACTACGTCCTCCGAAGGAGGGAGGCAAGCCGACCCCAAGATGGAGGCAAATTTGCGAAGAAATGGGAGGGACCGTATGTTATTGAGGCCATAGTACGACCGGGCAGTTACAAGCTAAGGACCACATCGGGCAAGGTGGTAGACAGGGTTTGGAACTCAGAGCACTTGTTGAAGTTCTACCAGTAGACATTCATTTGTATGGCCTGTCCCCCTTCCCAATAAAAGGCCAGGTTCCCCATAATAATGTTTGTTTACATTCGCAATGGAATAAGAAGTTTTTTAACAAGTTACCCTGTCCCGAATGGCGGACAAGCGAAGGCACCCCAAGGTCGACCTACCCGAGGTCGGCCGGCATGGGGTCGGCCAGACCTAGGGGTCGGCCGGCACGAGGTCAGCCAGACCTGGAGGTCGGCAACCACATCGGATATAACACACGCCCTAGGGGTGGTACGAGGTCCGCCCTCGCCTACCGCCGAACGGAAGGATTCGGGACGCGAGTCGTTGGACTCCATCCCAAGAATCGCTAAGAGGTCCTAGGGGCGACATGAGGTCCGGCCTCACCTGTCGCCGGACGGGCGCAACGCAACCTCAAACGCCCTAGGGGTGGTACGAGGTCCGCCCTCGCCTACCGCCGAACGGAAGGATTCGGGACGCGAGTCGTTGGACTCCATCCCAAGAATCGCTAAGGCGTCCTAGGGGCGACATGAGGACCGACCTCACCTGTCGCCTGACGGGCGCAACACAACCTCAAACGCCCTAGGGGCGGCACGAGGTCCGCCCTTGCCTACCGCCGAACGGAAGGATTCGGGGCGCAAGTCGTTGGACTCCATCCCAAGAATCGCTAAGGCGTCCTAGGGGCGACATGAGGTCCGACCTCACCTGTCGCCGGACGGGCGCAACGCAATCCCAGCGCCCCAGAGGCGGTACGAGGTCTAACCTCGCTCGACGCCAGATGAACAACCCACCAGCAGACCCCGAGGGGTCTGCTGGCCGACCCCGGGCTAGCTGACACCGCGATGGCGGGTAGTTAAACTCCCGCGGTACCAGAATTCATTAGTCCCAAGTGGAGACGAGGAGCAATCAAGACGAATACACAAGTAAAACAGACAAAGCATAAGACGAAATAGAAGAGCAGTATCATAGCAAGCAACGTCATAACCCAGCCAATAAGTCCAAAGCAAGCAAAATAAACAAAAGAAGCATAGGGGCGGCAACCCAAGCAACGAAGTAACACCAGTCTAAGCGAAATAACAACGAAGTAACGCCAGTCTAAGCAAAATAGAAGGATAGTCTATGCAGCAACTGAACAGAGATGAGAGGCCGCCAACATGGAAGGACGTCAGGGCTGCGTGGCCTCGCGGGTGCCGTCATCATCACCCAAGGCAGCCTGAGTCTCCTCCTCGGGGGCACCCACGCCGGCAAAGCGAAGAAGGTCGGCTGCGAAGTCCGCACTCGACGAGCGGTCGGCCGCCGAGTCCAAGGGTGGACGCTCGCCGTCCTCACCCACGGCCACGTCCATGGGATCACCTGGCTCCTCCTCCCACTCCTCGGGCAGGCCCCATGCAACGGGGTCAAAGGACGCATCTCTGGTGCGAAGGACTGCATAGATTCTGCTCTGCATGGCAGACTCCCCCGCCTCGAACAACTCCATCCCGTGCCGACCCAAACACTCATTCCCCGCGGGGAAGCTCGTAAGATGAGTCAGGGTCTCCTGGGGGTGCGCAGGGATCTAGGCCTGGGTATCCTGGATGAAGGCCTGGGAGTCCTTGTAAGCTGAAACAGCCACCCTCGCAGCCTCCTTCAGGGCCACCTGATGCGCATTACGCTCCCGCGACCGGCTGTCAATCAACGCGGCGTGCTGATCCTCTAGCGCAGC